TTTAATAATAGAATTTGAGATTGACCAAAAAAACCTTTTCCATAAAAGGTAGATTTGGTTTGTGCTTGCAGTTAGGTAAATCATAGTTTCACATTACCTAAAAATTTTAAGCTTTTAATAAGCATATATTAATAGGAAATTAGGAAATAATTTAGTTTTAGTTTTCAAATACAAAATGCATTTATCAGTAACTTTGGGCAAGCTGGCTAATCTCACGTTTCTCTCATTAATACACTGTTGATACATCGATGTTTCCAGACTCTCTGTGGAGAAACGTAGGGGTGACAACCCAGATGAAGAGGGAGGCTGAGGATTTTGTCTCAAAGCTGTGTCTGTGTATAACAAGGACGTGGTTCGACTTGGCCTGTGGGTTGGCTGGCTACGGCTTTGCGGGAGGCTGAGGGGTGCGACTGTGGGCTTAAACTTAGAGGTATAATCTTCAACTCCGCAGCATGGCCAGTATGCCATTAGGAAATGAAAGAATGTCTGGCACATAGGAGGTGCTTCACCATTTAGTTTCTGTCCCTTCTGTACCTCTGATGTGTAGACAAGAGCGATACTCTTCTCCAAAGCAGCAAACAATGTAAAACTCCAAAACCGATAACTTCTATTTAGATAACTTGCTGTCCGGCAAAGCTTAGGTTCCTGGCACAGTATTTCCATTACCACATAAGCACTCATTAGCCACAGAGTATGACATAAACAGTTTTACATGTGCATAAGGAAGAATATTTAAGAAACAGCTTGCACTACCTTCTGGTTTTTAATCTTTCACTCTTTCTCCGGAGAAAATAAATACAAACTACTGATTCATCTCTAGATTCATATTCTTTCCCATGTCTTAGTAGAAATAAAGCATTTGCATGAATAGTCAAGAGACAGGCAAAGTAACAGGGGAGGAAAAAAGGCCTCAGAAATGATCAAATGACCAAACCAAATGATCAATTCATGAATATTTATGAGCTGCTTATAATGACAATGGGTTCCTATTAATACTAACTAAAAACATGTGTACAACTTGATAATTTGCATAAAATATTCATAACAGTCATTTATATCTCCAGTTTTCAATCATTGTTATATAACTATACCCTTAGAATTCCCCAAATAGAACCATTATCTTTCTATTAGAATTGGCCTTATTTCAAGTCAGCATCTACATTTAATTTTTCTAAAAGTTAACTGCCTTCACATCTAATTCACCTATTAAGTGAGAAAACAGGGTAAGTATGCACCATTCAACAAACACGACTGAGTGCCTGCTAGATGCCAGGTGCTGTGCTGAGAATAGAAAGCCACAATAATGTCTTGCCCTGGTCCCTCTCCATGAACTGATCAATTTCTACACCACAGGTGCTGAAAGAGACAGGGACTGAGTGCAAGGAAGGAGAGCATGGGGGATGTGGAAGCCTGACTCAGGGATCCTGTCACAAAGAGATGTTGGGCTGGATTGTCACGCCATCCTTGTGATGCACTTTGCCAAGCAGCAGAGAGCACAATGGCAGAAAAGGGATAAGAACCACATGTATGCTGGAATTAAAAGAAATGTGGTTGTGATAGGCAGCCGTGCTTGTGTTCTAACTGGAGAAAGTGTGATAGTTCTTAACCTGTTTCTGACAAAGACTATATTTATTCTCTGAAAAGTTGGGGAGTGTGAGTTTTTGTCTCCTCCTCTCCTCGGAACTAATATTTATTGACTGTCTCTAAGTCAACACTCTATGACTATATATCTGTGATCTCAAGAGATCAAATGTGAAACAACTTTGCAAGGTAAGTCATGTTTATCTCTAATTAGCAGATAAGGAAACAAGCTGAGAGTGGGTATGAATTTCTCTAAGATCCATCTGACCCTAAAGCCCATGCTTTCCTCCCACCATGCTATCTCCAAAGAAAGTGTTCTGTCGGAAAATGGAACTAGGGCCACAGTAGGAAAAGCATGAATAATAGAGAAACTTCTGAGTACTTACTATACACTAGATACTGTTTGAAGAATTTTACATGTATTATTGTATTAATCCTCACAATCTCCTTGAGCGGTAGGTACATTTATCACTGCCATTTAACAGATAAGGAGACTGAGGCACAAAGTAATCTAATAACTTGCCCTTGCTCTGTCAAGGTGTTGGTAACTGGCAGAGCCAGGACTGAAATTCAGATAGTCTGGCTCCTGTGTCCCTGTGCTTAAGGACTCCACATTCCACCTTCTCATTCAGACCAAAGCCTAACTCTAGACCACCAGCAAAGACCCTGCTGGAAAAGATATCCCAGGCAGAAGGCACAAAGTGGTGAAGAGATCTTATGTCCCAAAATAATAGTGAGAAAAAAGAACTTAGTGTGGCTTAAGAATCAAGTCTTGATTGATGAGGAGAGGGAGAACAGTAGGAGGAGGGATAAGAAGCAGGAAAGATTGGTCTTTTTCCTTAATGCTATGCAGATGAAAGGCTGTTGATTTGCATTTTCTGGCTTTTTTTAAAATAGGAAATTTCTGTGCAAAAAAAAAGTATTTTCAGTATTAAAACAGAGAAATGCATAATGGTATTATATTGAATGTATACACCAATCAGTCACTTGCAAAGATGCCTAAATGTTTTCTACTTGAGTCTCTAGGAGTTGATCACTTTAGTATATTGTATTTTGACAGAACATAAGACGTCTAATAATTATTTGAAAAAGAAGTGGATTCCCCATACCTTAGATTTTTACAACATATTGTTGCATATTTATGCCACAATAAAATTCAGCCAAATGCAATATCTTTTAAAAACTTTAGTGTTTTGGTGCGCCTGGGTGGCTCAGTGGGTTAAGCCGCTGCCTTCGGCTCAGGTCATGATCCCGGGGTCCTGGGATTGAGTCCCGCATCGGGCTCGCTGCTCAGCAGGGAGCCTGCTTCCCTTCCTCTCTCTCTGCCTGCCTCTCTGCCTACTTGTGATCTCTGTCAAATAAATAAATAAAATCTTTAAAAAAAAAAACTTTAGTGTTTTTATATTAATCAATTCCAAAATTTAAAAGAGTTATCATTTGATCCAAATATATTCTCATCAACCACCAGATGGCATAAGGTGTGAGGGTTGTATTCTGACAGGGTCAACCATGCACATGATAATTTGACCTGTAACTTCAAAATAATGTATTTGGAAAAATGTTCTAGCACTCAAACAGCTCACAATTATTTCAGCCATATGTAGAAGTGGATGGATAAGTTGAAAATGACACGGCCCTACTATTTCTAAGTGTGGGGTTCTGTGGGACGCTGGCATTACATAATGAATCAGTGATCAAACGAATAAAACAAAGCCGTTCTGTTAAAGGAAATAAAAAAGGAAGTCATGTCAAAGCAAAATTAACCTTATATTCTAAGTAGCTTTCTTTAACTCTAAACGAAACTTGAAACACGCCTTCAAGAAAAAAAAAAAATGCTTGTACTCCTTCAAATTCTGCTTTAAAAAACTTCTCTACTGCCTATAATTTATTCTGAAAGCAGAAAAGTATCGAATGCAAAAGCTTTTCTCCACTTAGGCCTGAAGGGAAGTTGTCACAGAAGTCAAATGAAAAAAGAATATCCAACTGAAAAACCCAATCTGAGTTATGATGTTAAAGGGTAGGAAAGTATATTTTCTTAAGAACTTCAATTTCTACACAAATTCAAAATACAGCACATTATTTTTATTAATCCTGTATTTCCATTTGTTAGCAAGGCAAAGAGCTAAAAACTAAGGTAAATGAGGCAAATGCCATAAAAAAAATAGGAGGGATCTTTAATTATCCTTGCATTGTGTAGAATATTTACTGAGTACTTTGAAATAAGCATACTAGAATAAATAAGTACTATAGCCAAGCCAATATCAGAGAGCTGAGAGGCAATGTTTCCTCTACGATGACAAAAAACAAAAACTGCCTTTAGGACTCAAGTGACCAAAGATGAGCTTAAGATCCCTTCAGTGTGGTCTAATAGTCATTGATTTCTGGAGATACTGTAATAGTTTATTTTCAAATTTTACTATATACTTCCTTGTTAGATGAAATAATTTGGTTCCTGAATGAAAAATCTGTGGAAGAGGGAATCACCAACGCGCCCTTTTCCTAGTTCTAAGTCGCGTATTGATAAGGATAATGGGAACAGGAGTAAGAGAATTAATGCAGAGAGTACTGTGAGAGTGCTTCACTCATGCCCATCTCTATTTTGGGCAGTCAATAGGTGAAAACTTGGGGCACCTGGGTGGCTTAGTGGGTTAAAGCCTCTGCCTTCGGCTCAGGTCATGATCCCAGGGTCCTGGGATCAAGCCCCGCATCCGGCTCTCTGCTTGGCCGGGAGCCTGCTTCCTCCTCTCTCTGCCTGCCTCTCTGCCTACTTGTGATCTCTGTCAAATGAATAAATAAAATCTTAAAAAAAATAGGTGAAAACTGATGAAGGGAGCCCTCACTAAAATGGAGTTGGGGGGGGCCAGAAGGTGGAGCTCTATTACTCACATCAACGATAAGAACTGTCCATTACAGACTCCAACAGAAGAATCATCAACAGAAAAAAATCCTCAAAATCCTCAATCACAGATTGAGGGAAGGATATACATTCCATCTACTGTAAGAAACTGACTACTCCAGCAACTCAGCCAATGACCAAGAAGCATCATTCTGAACACTTGCTTTTCTCCAAAGGACTTCCTTTCAAACTCCTCCCAACTTCCTCCTCCTCTACAAAGCGACATTCCTCTTTCTATAATTTCTTGGACTTGCCCTGTGGTTTAGACCTAGCTTGCAAATCCTCAATTGCTATTCTCTGCTATTCCTAAATAAACCCCCTTTTGCTGGTCAAATAACTTACATTTCTAAGGTTAATAGTAGCAAAGATGTTTCCCACCTGGGTTCATAGGAAAGGAAAAAATGGCATGTCTAATTCTTATTCTTATGTTTAGAAAAGGGCATCCGTTGTTACTTCCAAAGATTTCTTCTGATGATTCAGTTAGACAGTAGAAAGTAGAATGATATATTTCAATACAAAGTACTTACTTTAAATTCCATTCTTTAGGATGTTTTAATTCAGCTTTCTTCCATTTATAATACTCTACAATAAAATCTGGATCTTCAAGCACTGAAATTAGAGTTTTGAAAAAGGAGCATTCTTTAATAATAGCTCAAAGTTTAAAATAATTTACTTTTCATTAAGCTGATATATGGCAATGATATACCCTATATAGTCCAAGTCATACTACAATGCTCACTTTACAAATTTCTTCCTTTGCCTTGAACTTTGAAACAAGTAGATTTTTCTTCAAAGTTTTCATTATAACAACACTTGTTTATATACCATTTACAGTAATGAAGATGACATTAAAATAACTCAGACAGAAACTACAGACACCATAGTTTAACAAAGTCCTTATTCAGCACTATGAGTAAAAAATAAAATCTTGGAGTTGGAAGTGACATTACGTAGGTCTTGATCTTCTACAAAGCAAGATTTGTCAATGGATGATCACAGTCCAGCCTCTGAATGAATCAATCCCTTGCCAATGACAGAAAACTCCCTTCCCTGTGGTTGGGAAACTGCCTATTCCATTGCCAGATAGTAGGTCATAATGTCTTTCTTAATCTGAGTGCTGAGTTTCCACTGATCCTAGTTCTGACCTCTGGAGCAATACTAACCAGGCTCATCCTTTCCCCATGGGAGAGGGCCCTTCTAATATTAAAGATAGCTCTCAGAGCAGCCTCAGTTCCCTCAACTTTATCTTAAGATATGGCTTCTAGAGACCTAACCATCATGGTAGTGAACTTTGTTAATGTTCCTATTAAAGTTCACATCCAGGGGTGCCTGGGTGGCTCAGTGGGTTAAAGCCTCTGCCTTCAGCTCAGGTCATGATCCCAGGGTCCTGGGATCGAGCCCCACATCGGGCTCTCTGCTCCGCGGGGAGCTTGCTTCTTCCTCTCTCTCTCTGTCTCTCTGCCTACTTGTGATCTCTGTCTGTCAAATAAATAAATAAGATCTTTGAAAAAAAAAAAGTTCACATCCAGAACTGGCTCAGGATCTTGATTTCTTTTGAATAGCAAAGGTGTAAGCAGGTTAGTACCTCCTTTGACCTGTGTGTTACACTTCTACCAATTCATCTCAGATCTGCAGTAGTATTTTCTGGAAACAACATTGCACCACTGGCACATACATTCATTGTTAATTATAAGCCTTATGCCTTTAATCAGATTAACTTAAAATTTATTGAAAGCCAGATTATATGGGGTGCCTGGGTGGCTCAGTCATTAGGCATCTGCCTTCAGCTCGGGACATGGTCCCAGGGTCCTGGGATCAGGCCCCACATCGGGCTCCCTGCTCAGCAGGAAGCCTGCTTCTCCTTCTCCCACTCCCCCCTGCTTGTGTTCCCTCTCTCACTGTGTCTATCAAATAAATAATCAGATCTTAAAAAAAAAAAAGCTAAATCATATACACACACACACACACACACACACACACCTTATCTATCTATCATCTCCCTCTTTCTTATAATTGTCCTGGTTTAGTCTTGAACAATTTAACTGACCAGATGTTTTCTACTAGTCTTACCTTTATCTGGAGCTTCCTTCAAACAATGGTTCATTAACCTCTGCTAGCCTGATGAAATAGGTCATTGATAGAAACAATTAAACAGAATAGTTTTCCTTTTCTTCTATTAATATTACATAATTTTCACTAGCTACAGCTAGTTTCTGGCTTTGACTTTTTTTTCTTCCTTCACACACACACAAATACACATACATTCTTTTTTTTTTTAAGATTTTATTTATTTTATTTCAGAGAGCACAAGTAGGGGAAGGGGCAGAGGGAAGGAGAAAAGAAGGGAGCACTGGGTGGGGCTCAATCCTAAGGCCCCAGAATCATGACCTGAACCGAAGGCAGATGCTTAACCAACTGGATTACCCAGGCACCCCTATTAAGAACATACATGTTCTTAATATCCTTTATTAATATTCTTTTTGTTGGTATTTAGACTTATGCTCCTCCCCTCATTAAGGAAGGCAATCTGAGCTCTGCAGGGTTCTTAGTGAGGTCTCATTATTTCCTTTAGATGATTATAATAGCTAATAGTAAGAGAGTTCTTCCTACACATTGGGCACCTGTAAAGTAGGTGGTTACCATTACAATATACATTTTACAGAGGAACAAATAGAAAATTGAGTAATGTCTTCTCATTGGGGCTATTCTTACCAGTTAGACAAAATTTAAATTTTAGGTTTCTATTCAAGGATGATTAATCTATTTCCTTACTTTTTTTTTGCAATCACCTTTCCCACATTTTCTATTTGAATATATACATTAGTCTTTTCCTTATATGTTATGAAACCCCAAATGGCATGGTCATCCTTTCTGAATATTTCCATTAATCTTATATCACTGACTCATTTTCTTCCTTACTTTCTCTACTATCTGAGAGACAAAAAATGCCACAGTATTTATACAAACTTTTATTTTAATGCTTCCTATTTTATTCCTATAATTTTTTCATTCGGCATTCTGCCATGCGACCATAAACTTCTTAAAAATCTTCTCATAGTACGTATGTTGTCTCTAACACACAGTCCATTGTCTAGAGATGGAAGATGCTCAATGAGTGATGGTGACAGGAGGGAAATAACGCAGGCGGAAGGGGCACATGAAAGCAAGTAGGAGGAAAGGACCAGTGAAATTTTGTCAGAAGTTTTTGAAGCTGAAATTCCCCATCATGACCATATCTTGTCCTTGTGACAGTTTTATAGTCTGTGGTATAAAATCATTTTCTAGAGCGCCTGGGTGGCTCAGTGGTTAAAGCCTCTGCCTTCGGCTCAGGTCATGGTCCCGGGGTCCTGAGATCGAGCCTCACGTTGGGCTCTCTGCTCAGCAGGGAGCCTGCCTCCTCCTCTCTCTCTCTCTCTCTCTGCCTGCCTCTCTGCCTGCTTGTGATCTGTCTGTCAAATAAATAAAAAAATCTTTAAAAAGAAAAAAAGAAAGAAAGAAAATCATCTTCTATGGGCTCCATAATATACTTATTTCTTCCCTTCCTTGTAAAGATCACAGTACATCACCTTTACTTTGTTTTTTCCATGACACATCTCTTGTCCAACATCTGTATAGGTTGATCTAAAAATTTTTTCCATGGCTGGGACTGTCACATCCAAAGAAATGTAATAGGATCAACCTGCCTTAGCACGTTTTATCTTCCACAAATATTATCTCATACTAACCATAGAACAACTTAAAATACAGTGGAATGCTTCTGTCAGTGGAAAGAAATGAAAAACGAGGCACAAAGAGTTAAATGACTAACCTAAATTCATTTAACTGTAGGTGGCAGAACCAGGACAGAACTATGGAGTCTCTAACTTCCACTATTGCGCTCTTCCCACGGCAGCCTTTCCAACCTTGGTTGCACATTGTAATCACCTGGGGAGCTTTAAAAATGGCTACTGCCGGGTCTTGCTCCCAGAGATCCTGATGAAATTAGTCTGGGGGGTGTGCCTTTTACATGGGAGTTTTTACAAGCTCCTCTGGTGGTTCTAAGGAGCAGTGAAGACTGAGAGCCCCTGCATCACAATGAGATGATGCTGCCTCTTGCATCTGAATGCATTCTGGAGATATTTGTCCTTATTTCTGGCTCAAAGACTCAAAGAATGGAAGTCTTTTAGGGTGAGAGCAAGCATCCCCATGATGTTTCAGGGTGTCTGGTCTGTCTGATGATAGCAAACAAACACCAGGATGCCTCCACTCAGTATTACAGAGTACACTGGTCTGAAGGATTTCTTTCCTTTAACATAAACATTTCCTTATGGGGATCATATTCTGTCATTAGGGTGCTGTTGCCCACAACCATATGTATTGGTTCATTCTCTGCCAGACTTTTATTTGTCATTCTATACTGATGGACAGGGAACAGTGGATCATCAGTACATTTCCCCATATGATTGTCTATGATTGTAAACTAATAATTTTTGAAAAATGTACTGCATATACTTCAGAGTTTGGATTTAAATCTCAGGCTATATAGAGACAGCATTTTTGTACCACATTATAGAGGCAGTATAGCATGATAAAAAGAGCAATAGATGTGGAATCAGGGAATCTGGTTCAAGTCCTTAGAGCCACAGCCTAATGGTACTAATTAATTACAGCCACCTTCACTGAGCACTCACTATGTGCTAGGCACTATTTTAAGTCCTTCAATGCTATGAGGCATGTGCTCTAATTATTCTCATTTTACAGACAGGAAGGGAACTTACACAGAGAGGTTAAGAAACCCACCCAAGGTCACACAGCTAATAAGTAGCAGAGCCAGGATTAAATCTCAGCAATCTGGCTCTAGAATTTACACTCTTTACCACTATATAATATTTCCTCCTACCTGTATGACCTTAGGTAAATTACTTAGCTTATTTTTTTTTAAAGATTTTATTTATTTATTTGACAGACAGAGATCACAAGCAGGCAGAAAGGCAGGCTGAGAGAGAGAGGAAGGGAAGCAGATTCCCTCCTGAGCAGAGAGCCCAATGCAGGGCTCAATCCCAGGACCCTGGGATCATGACCTGAGCCGAAGGCAGTGGCTTTAATCCACTGAGCCACCCAGGCGCCCCACTTAGCTTCTCTTGATCTTGGTTTTCTCATCTGTAAGACAGAGTAATAATCATAATGCCTGGTTCATCGGCTTGATATACTACTATGTATGACATATATTAGGCATTCAGTAAATACTGGTTGACAAATGAATAAAAGAATAAGATGGGAATGATTAAAAAAACAAACAACGGAGTATACCTGGTAAACTGCATTGTACATGAATAAACTTACTATTACTATGGTACACATGACTATGGGTAGATTTGTAGCATAAAGATATGGAAAAGAGTTAATACCCCAAATCGAAATATAACCACTCATCAATATGAATAAAAAAGCTTTTACAAATATGCATAAGAGTTTCATAATCTTTGCAGTGATAAGACTGTAACTGTAGGGTTGCCAGGGTGGCTCAGTGGGTTTAAACCTCTGCCTTTGGCTCAGGTCATGATCCCAGGGTCCTGGGATTGAGCCCGCATTGGGCTCTCTGCTTGGTGGGGAGCCTGCATCCTCCTCTCTCTCTGTCTGCTTCTCTGCCTACTTGTGATCTCCATCTCTCAAATAAATAAATAAAATCAAAAAAAAAAAAAAGAAAGAAAGAAAGAAAGAAAGAAAAAGAATGTAACTGTAGAGGGGCACCTGGGTGGCTCAGTTGGTTAAGCGTCCAACTCTTGATTTCGGCTCACGTCACAATCTCAGAGTCATAAGACTGAGCCCCATGTTGGACTATGCTGGGAGTGGAGTCTGCTTAACATTCTCTCTCCCCTCTGCTCCTACTCCTCTCTAAGAAATTAAATTAAATTTTTTTAAAAGAATGTAACTGTAGAAACTGAAGTTATTAGAAGTTTCCCTTTTATTTCTCAGTAGCTGAAGAAGCATTCTATAATCTCAAAGCTTCATCTTTATTATTGCCAGGCAATTAGGCTGTTTAAAAAATAGTATTGGATCTTATCCAGCTGAATTATCCAAAGATAAAATGGCCAGCAGCACATGTAAGGTTTAAAATCAATTTTTAAAAAGTGAGTGTTCGTTGTTATTAAAGGAAAACTCCTGAAACATTCTTATAACAAGTCCTAGGGGAAGAACAGGCAGGGTGATTGTGAAATCTTGCACCAAGGGCTAGAATCAGTTGCAGAAATTCTTCTGGGCTAGAGATAGCCCTAAAGCTATTGCTTTCACAAAAAGGGATGAATTACATACTAAGTAGTTATAGCCATGGAAATGAGAACCAAATTAAACATTTTCGTGTTAATTCTTTTGAAGAAGAAACTGCAGTCAGTGGTACTGCATTATTTCCTTCCATTTTTAATTATTCTTTGTTGCAAGAGAATCATTTCCAAATTCCCTGAACTTCTGGCACGTGCTTCTATTTTTTTTTTTTTCTTAACAGTTTGAAGTTCCCAAATGCTTCTATATATTTACAGGTTATTCCATAAGACACCATTTTCTACCAGTTGTTTTGTTTTACGGTTGAAGGAGCTGGATGCTGAGTCTTTCCCTGGATTGTGCCAACTGTTTCGGATGCCTTGTCTGTTAAGGGTTCCTGCCTCCTGGATCCCATCTGAGTTCCTCAGTGTTTCCACATAGGAGGTACTCAAGATGTGTTTGCAAGTTGACTAGGCAGTACCCAACCATAAATCTTTGAAAAGAAGCAACTATTCATGTACTCTGGCATCAAAAGTAATAAAATTCTTTATACTGATAGTGTTGCCAAAGATTGTGTTTCTTTAAGCACCTTAATTATTGTTCTTAATCCTAATCTATGATTAGTGAGGAAGGTAATGGTGATCACAAAATAATAACCAACATCCTGAAAGAACATGTAATTTCTTAGAAGTTACTCATGTAATTTATTTTAAATATTTGTTAAGCTTGGTATTACTTTCTGCTCTAATTTGTGCCTTAAAACTATAAACTGTTTTGGTGATCTTTTGTTCTATTGAAACCAAATATGAGACTATCACAATAATGAGATGAAATTCAGTGAGACCACAGATTAAGGCTGTGGTCATCAGGGTGGAGTGGAGAGACAAACGTTCTTAATGTTGTAGGAGATCAAGTAAACAAGGCTTAATTTGGGCAGTAAAGAGCTCCAAGAAATGCCTATGATTTTGGTTTAGACAAGTAAACTCAATAATGGTGATCCACAACTAACCAGGGGAGGTGATAACGATGGAAGGATAGGTTTTGGGGCAAGATGATCAATTCACTTTGGCATATCTTAAGTAGGAGATGCCTGTAACCCATGTGGGTAAATGTCCAAGGCACAGTTGTAAATATGCACACAGAATTCATAAGAGGGCCTGATTAGAGATGAGGCTTTGGGAATTACTGGCAGATAGGCATAGCAAACAAGAGCACAAGTAAGATAAAGGCTAAAAAGGTTATCACTGAACCTGGAAGTTAGGAAGTCATGGGTCACTTCTGAATGCTCCATTTCAGCAGGATAGCAGGGCAGCAGACTGGATAGCCTACTTGGATCTAAATCATGAAACAGCACGCTAAAGATTCGATTCGATGGGGCCAGAAAGTTGTCCAGCTCTCCCCTTCCGTCTTTTTAGCTCCTAATATATGATGGCAACAAGGTGACTTTTCCTTACACTGATAGAATTGAAAGCCTTAGGTTCATATGTTTTCTCACTATTTTTCTACTTAGTACTTTCTCTGGCTTTGAGAATAATTGTGTTTAGAATCAAAAAGTCTCCTCTTGCTATGAAGGCTCCACATTTTGGGGGGGAGTAAAGTTAAGTCTCATAAGATTGATAGCTTCATCTTTTATTCCTCCAATTGTCTATCTTTCTTCTGACTTTTAATAAGACTTCAGTCCAGGACTCTATACCAAAGAGGAACTAAATTAATAGTTGTTGAATGATTCTTATATAGAGGTAACAGAGAAGTTTATCACCTTCAGATTATAAATAAATGCCAATTAGTCTTTGAAAGCAAGATAAGTTGAGAATAATTAAGAGATTAATATATACCAAAAGGACATAAGATAAGGCTAGATCACCTTACATGAACTTCTATAGTGTTCTGTGGCTTTTGATGTGGCTATTGTAGACCATGTCTTGTAGTAATCATTAAATGAGATTTCTTTAATTGATCTGAAAATATACATTAAAATCAGACAATGAGTATTTGCAAGTTTCCTTTTTAAAATTATTTTATCAGAGTAGACTGTTTCAGATAATATCCTGCCATAAGACATTAAACAGATTTGTAATTTCTAACAAATGATCTAATATATCAATTTCTCCACTAATACATATAAATCACAAAAAAGAAAAACTCTCCAAAACATATTTCAAAATAAATGTAAAAAATGTACACCCATGTGCATATTATAAAAAGAAAAAAAGTTTAAAATATCTGCCTTTCAGATTAACTTTAAAAAAGGATTTTAAGAAAAGCATCATACTTGAACATTTTTTCTTTCTACAATAAACTGTTTTCTTAAATATGTATGCTAGGGATGCCTGAGTGGCTCATTGGGTTATGCCTCTGCCTTCGGCTCTGGTCATGATCTCAGGGTTCTGGGATTGAGTCCCGCATGGGGCTCTCTGCTCAGCGGGGAGCCTGCTTCCCATCTCTCTCTGCCTGTTTCTCTGTCTACTTGTGATCTCTCTCTCTGTCAAATGAATAAATAAAATCTTTAAAAAAATATCTATGCTAAATTTCAGTAAGATCACCTTTATTTCCTTTTTATTGTGAGGAGAAGTAAAACACCAGAACTGAGATCAGTTTCATTTTCACACAGAATCTGGCCATTTTCATACAGGGAAAAAAACAACTCTTCTAACAGTCTTGCCTGCACTTATCCTTCCCTGTGCTAATATTACTCTATCCTAATGGGAGAGCAAATATTGTTATAAAATATGGAATGGGATCTGCTTAACAGGCACTTAAATAACTGCATTTCTAATTTTTTTTCCTACAAACAACTTAATTGCAGAGATTCTCAACACTCTAGAAACAAAAATTTCCTTTGGGATGTTTTTCAGACATGTGAAATCACCAAATAGCTTAAATAGATGCTGAAACATCAGACATAAAAGACCTTATGTCTGTTTTCCATTTGAAGTTCTAAGCTCTTTGGAGGAAGCAGCAACTTTTCAATTAGAAAAAGTACACCAGCATTAATTTTTATAGGTGAACTGTAGGTACCTTAAATGTTGGACTCATTTTAGAAATGAATGGGACAACATCTAAATTCTTGAACGCATCATTTATTTAAATGATAATTACAAATGTCTAATTTTAAAAGTAACATTTTTCAAATGTATTATTGCTTTTGCAATCACACCAGTAGAAATCTGAAACGGGGTGACAATAAATTAATCAGTGCTATTATTGCTTCCAGAGCTATGTGTGGTGCTTTCCACCACTAAATGACATATTAAACTAACATTAATTTTGCCAACGAAATGTTTCGGCATTTGGCAACAGAGGTAACAAAATGAAAGGCTGCATTATATCTCCTGCATGAAAAAGCTTGTGATCAATTTGCTGTCACAGATCATTTAGCAGACAACAATGACCCAAGAGGAAGGAAACTGTCAACACACTGTCTCGTGAAAAAAAATACACCATCTTTAGGCACAATCGTCTCCATTGTTTTTTTGTCTGTTTGACGATGACCCATGACCCTCTCCCTTCCCAGGGGTGTCCTGTTCAATTTCAAACTGTTAGCCTTCAGGGGTTTTCTTTTCTTCCCCAGAATAATTAAAAATATTACCCTAAAAGGTATAACTTTAGTAGAGTTTGAATATACAAAGCAGAATGTCTTAAACATTTGAGAATACTGCATTTTCAATTCTGTAAAAGAAACAGTGCCTTAAAATAAGAACAATACAAGATACAACAACAAAACAGAAACAATTTTTACGATTATTCAGATAAGCTACTAAGTTTACAGGGAAATATAAAAAAATACATGTTTTTATAATTTGAAACATTAACAGGAATTTACTGTGTACTGTCACTGCCATTATGAATAAGAAAAAGTAGAAGATAATCCAAACTGAACTTTAGAGTTTATTATCCTATTGGGAAAATAAGATATATACCCAAATTAGCAAATAGAATGGTTTTACATATTAGCATGTAAAGTGTTACATCATTTAAACAGACATTTGGAGATGACGACAGATACTTCTTTGGCAGGGGCAGTAAACTAAAAAAGTTGGAAGAGAGAGATGTAACTTTGTCTTGGAGGCTTTAGGGAAGGACTAACTTGGAATATGGATCTGGAACAGATGGAGGAGGCAATCTGGGTGAGAACAGTATTAGCAATCGCTCAGATGGGAAAGAGCATGGTGCATGTGCAACAGAGCATGTTGGGGGGAGAGACGATTGTAACGAGATAATTGACTAAGGTGGAGAGTTCCAATTTCAGAGGAATTGGAATTTGACAAAATAAGTGAAACTGGGCAATGCAGGTCTTCAGATTTAGGCAGAGAATGGGTTAGAGTTGACTTAGGAATGATTTATTAGGTGATAGAGAGCAATCAGAAGTTCTTGAATAAGGCAAGTAAATTATGAACCGAGTATGTGAGCAAGAGTTTTTTCTGGCCTCAGGATGCAGGGTGGAGTATATGAGAGATTAAATGCGGAGAGACAAGTTAAGAAACAGATGCAGTAATTCAGGCAAGAAATGCAGAGCTAACAGAAGGTAGGAGCAGAGACTATGAAGGGAGGAGATGAATCTCTGACAAGCTAATGAAATGCCAGGACTGGTTTTCTGAAGGGTGTGAAAGGTGAAGGAATCTGGGGTCAGATATTCTTCTAAAGCCCAGAAGACCATTTAGTTTTGCTAGTAACAGAAAGCATCTAGAGACTCTGAAGTAAAATATGAGTTTAAATTTAAACATGGGTTTTAGGTGATGAACTTTGGAAGTGTGATTGAGAAATTGAGACTGGAAATAGGAGATTTGGGTCAAATCAACATAAAGGTTGATAGATGATGCCATTAGGGGAAACAAACACGGAAAGAGTAAGTAAGTGTTTAGAAAAGAAAGATCAGAAACCAATTCATAGTTAAGAGGAGCCAGTGAAGGAAACAAAAAGGATCATTAAGGGAAGAAGAGAGTCAGGGTAGTGCTAGGTCATGGAAGCAACCTCCCAGCCATTACTCAAGCCTCCTGATTAAGCCCTTACAAATCTCTGGATCTATAGTCATGTAATATCATGATTAAGAGTAAGGAAGGCTGGGGCGCCTGGGTGGCTCAGTGGGTTAAGCCTCTGCCTTTGGCTCAGGTCATGGTCTCAGGGTCCTGGGATCGAACCCCACGTCGGGCTCTCTGCTCAGCAGAGAGCCTGCTTCCCTTCCTCTCTCTCTCTGCCTGCCTCTCTGCCTACTTGTGATCTCTGTCAAATAACTAAATAAAATCTTAAAAAAAAAAAAAAAAAAAGAGTAAGGAAGGCTTATGAAAGGCAGAGATAGGCCGAAAACAAGGTCTCGTAAACCAGTCAAGTTGTGAAGGCAAAGGAATATCACTCAAAGGAAATTAAAAGTGCAACTCCAGTGAACACATGAATGACAGAAAGCAAAACAGATTTATTGCTGAGATGAGATAGTTTGAGTGGCCTGGATAGAAGATCAGACCAGCTACAACATTCCCTTAAGACAAAGCCTAATCCAGAGCAGGGCCCAAACTCTCACTCTGTGAAGGCTGAGAGAGGTAAGGAAGCTGCTGAAGGAAAGGCTGAAGCTAGAAGAGGTTGGCTCATGAGATTTAAGGAAAGAAGCTGTCTCTATAACATGAAAGTGCAAAGGGAAGGAGCAAGTGCTGATGGAGAAGCTGCACGAGTTATCCAAGAGATCTAGCTCAGATAACACGTGTAATATTTCATAACCCATCCTTCACCTCCATTTATTGTTAGTAAGTAAAAGTCTGTAGAATCACGTCCAAAAGATGCTTCTATTCTCTTGCTATCTGGCAACCAATCCCCTTCTCCCCTCCTCCCTTTGGTTTTGTATCTCAGCTCCTGATACACTTTGGTTGCCACTGGCATCTGGATTCACTTTTTATTCTGGATGTCAACTTACTTTCCCTTGGGTCAGGCTGTGGAAAATAGGCTCTCTCCTATCTCCATGCTTTTGAGTTTGCTATTGCCGCTGCCTAAATGTCCTTCTTCCATTGCCTGCAGGTGGAATTCCTATTCTACCTTTAGAAATCACTTCAGGCAACACCTTCTCCTGGAAGCTGGCCTTTATATGTCCCTTCCCCCACTCTGGGACTCCAAGCTTTAGGAAGATATTTCTCCCTCCAAGTTCCTCCAGCATCTAGATCTAGTCTGTATAACACCACTTACTAGAAGTAATAATGTAATAAAATAATTACTAGGTACAGCTCAATGAAATGTTGGGTTGCATTTGACAGCCGTGGAACCAGTGACAGATGACTTAGTGAAAAAGTAAAAGCCTCTACGGAGGGGAGAAAAAGCCATAGGGGAAGAAGTTTCTACCCAATATGACTCATTTTGAATATGATTTCATCTGACCTTGGCATCCCCCTCAGTCGTGATCTAGTATTTGCTCTGTGGCCTTCCAACTACATCCTCTGGTAGAAGCTGCTCCCTATATGGTCCTATAGGACTGATAGTCAGGCATACTTCTGCGCTATCTCTCTTTCAGAGAGCAGCTTCCAATCTTAGATTATAAATCATGTGAGATCAAAGATCACATACTATTCAGATGTGTGTCCCCAGGATGGGAGCACGGGGTCTGGCAGAGAGGAAATGCTCAGCGAATACATTTGAAACAAATGAGTAAGTAGGTGTTCTCTCAGAAGCTGCTCTATATCTTGTTAAGTGGTATCCTGCAGCCCTGGTGCAAACATTCCAGAGGACAAGCACAAGCTTAAATCACTTTTAATTACTGAATATCAACTGGATTCCCCTGACTATATTCTACTCAGTTGACTAGACTTTGCCTATGTTTTGTTATATCTTTTGGAAACAGGGTTTAACTGTCTGGCTAGGCCTCTGGAATCCATTCCTATAATCAGGTTAATTCTTTTAGCTCATGAAGTAGCGTGAAGTTCTAGCATATGGTGCTAGACTGACAAGGCTAATAGCAGAATCTCTCTTGGAGTAATTTTTGCAGGGCCTCACTTTACTATGAGGCCTAAAAACTAAAAGCTAGACATAACTGAGCTTTATCTCATAACAAATGTGCTAGGAGTAAACATTTGGATTTACAAATACATAATAAATTGCAACCTTCTCTACACTAGGAGGATAAAGTATCACTGAAATCTAGATTGTATTGCTTTGACTGAATCCTAAGATTTCTCTAGAGATTTCAGGCTAGCACTAGGTGAACACCACAAATAAGACCTGATTCTGGCTTCATTTATCCTTGGTTTCATTCAGAGGAACTGCCAAAGCTAGAACCACAGAAGTTCTTCTGGCCTCCTCTTACTGCCTTATCAGTAAATGCTAGCACTGTAACTTTATGCATTGCAAATAATTATACGACAAAGAGAAAGAACTTTGTAATATTCTAGGAACCGTCATGCGTTATAGGGGATAAAACAGTGTTTATGCATTCAACAACTATTTACCAAAGGTCTACTGTGTCAAGAAGGTCAGTTGCTTCTCTCCACATTGACGAGTTTAAGGGGCAGCAATGTCCTTTACTCAATGCCAACCTGGTGCACTACCCACTAGACTATGCTTGTCTTTCTGAAATTTTCCAATACCTTCACAAACCAAAGCCACTTGAGTTACATAATTTGTTCATCTTTTATACAGGGCCAGTCAAGGAGACTGAAGCTGAAGCAAGTTATTTCAACACTAGTTAACTGGCTGTTTTCTACATCTGACTGATTATCAAATTAAGGCTGATAGAAATGTTCAAGAAACTAAATGCTGCAGAACCATTATGAGAATACTGACCTACACCTTGTTCAGGCGTCCATAGCTAAACTGATAGCACATTTTCATCTTGTCTCCTAAAAGATACAATGGCTTTATCCTTATCTCACCGTTTTCCTCTAGAACCTTATCTTTTCCTAAACTACTTAGCTTTTTGTGATCTATAGTGGTTTGTACTGATTATGTTGCCAACTTTTTTTTCCCTTTTCTATAAAAAAATAAAAAGAATAGGCAAGTTCATATACTTACATTACATAATAATTACATTCAATTTTAATTCAACCATCTAAAAAGAATACAATAACCTCTCACATTCTTCCTGAAAACATTTTAAAAAAGCATTTTAAAAGAGATTTACTTCCTTTTCTAAATTAAAAAAGTGAAAATTCAATTATGATAAAATATATATATAAATGGTTTAAATCAATATCAAGATTTAAATCAGCCCTATTGATTTAAGGGCTCTTGGCTGGCTCAGTTGGTAGCACATGCGACTGTTGAGCTGACTTGTGAGTTTGAGCCCCATTTTGGGTGTAGAGATGAAAAACGAAAAAAGAGAGAGAGCAAGAGAGAGAAAGAAAGAAAGAAACGGACATGGAATTAATAAAGAAAAACTTACCTGATAACTTTATCTGGATCTTTAGGAAACTCAGGGCCATTATCTCTCACTGCAAAGAAAAACATAAAAGGATTCTGGTTGACTTGGAAGAATGAATATACAGTTTTATGTAAACTCTTCCCAAAACCTAAATAAAATGGTAATAAAAGAATAAAAATAAAGTATAAAACCTCAAGGAAAGGTAAAGAAAAATGGTAAGAAAAATGTTCAAGATGAGGGATACGTGGATGGCTCAGTCAGTTAAGCATCTGGCTTGTGATTTCAGCTCAGGTCATGATCTCAGGTCGTGAGATTGAGCCCAGTGATGAGCCCTGCATCTAGCCCTATGTGGAGTCCTGCATTGGGCTCCATGCTCAGCAGGAAGTCTGCTTTTCTCTCTCCCCTTCTGCCCCTCCCTCTACTTGCATCCTCTCTCTCTCTCTCAAATAAATAAATAAATCAATCTTTAATTTTTTTTTTCCAAGAGGAAAGATGTTAAGTGGTAACTGTCTTAGCCAGGAATTTGAAACCTAATGACATGAGGCGGGGACATTAATCAAAAGCATATGTATTTACACTTCAGAACTTGAGAAACAATTCAGGAATTGGAGATGTTAGATGCCTTTGAAAGGTAGGAGGTATAGCACAGATATCAAATACTTATATCCTCACCCTGTCAAGCAGATGATCACCACTACTGAGGCAGGAGGAAAGATACTTCCTGGAGAAACTGAATCAGAGAGACTCAGAACTGAAGATTATTAGGTACAAAGCAGGATAAGAGTATGGTGAGGGACTGGAAGCAGCGATTAAATCACATAAATCTTGTGCTCGCTTCAGCAGCACATATACTAAATCACATAAATCTTATTGGATAGAAAAGACTCCTTATTCTTTCCCACTGTCCAATTCTCAGAGTTTAAGCAATTAGTGTCTCTCTCTCCAGGCACAAGACTGGAGGATTGTTTTCAGGAGAAATAGTCAGGCCTGACTATTGATATGGATAGGTCTTCACTAAATAAACTAATAAAGAAAGATATAAAACCATCAACAAGTCTAGTCTGTATTCAAATATTTCTAATATTTTTAATGATTGATTTCCATTCTTCATATGTCCATCAATGGACAAGGATCACTATACATTTGTGTAAAGTCATTATCATGAAAGATAACAACCAAAACAAATAAGCAGGGAGGAAAGCAGGAAATAGAAACATATTTTGCTGGAAATTTTCCAGAGTATAGAACAAAAAACAAAGATATGGACAGTAGGGAAAAATACAAGTTTCAAAATTAGAGGATTGGATCAGTAGATCCTACATCCAAATATGTGGATATTTAAAACACAATAGTGAAGACGGAGGAGGGAAATGATAAAAGAAATCACATAAGAAAAAATTTCAGAACTAAAGGATTCAAATTTGAGATTTAAACATCCTAGCAAATGCCCTATATGATGAGCAAGGAAAGAAAAAAACAGACACACGCAAAACTACATCAAAAAAACGTCCAAAAATTTCAGGGGCACCTAGGTGGCCCAGTTGCTTAAGTGTCAGCTCAGGTCATGATCCCAGGGTCCTGGGATCAAGCTCCTGCCTCAGGCTCCCTGCTCAGCAAGGAGCCTGCTTCTTCTTCTCCCTCTGCCTGCTGCTCCCCCTGCTTGCTTTCTCTTCATTAAAAAAAAAAAAAAAAAAAAAAAAAAAAAAAAATTATGTATTTATTTTTTTAAAGATTTTTTATTTTTTTAAAGATTTTATTTATTTGACACATACACACACACAGAAACAGAGAATAGCAGAGTGAAAGGGAGAAGCAGACTCCCTGCTGAGCAGAGAGCCTGTTGTGGGGCTCAACCCCAGGACCCCAGGATCATGACCTAAGATGAAGGCAAACACTCAACCCACTGAGTCACCCAGGTACCTCAAATAAAATCTTTAAAAAATTTCAGATCTGTAGGGATAAAGAGGAAATTTTAAAAGTTTTAGAAGGAAAAAAATCACATGTAAAGAATTGGACATATGAGTGAAATCAAACTTCTCAAGAGCAATACTAGAAACTACAGGTAATAGGATCTTTACAATTCTGAAATAAATTTCCAAACTAAAATTTAAATTGTGAACATAAGACAGTCGAATAAATACACTAGTAGACATATAAAGTAATAAAAGATTTAGCTCTCATGTACTAGTAAGCTCCTAGAAGAAATGCTCCAATAAAATGAGGGAGTAAACCAAGCAAGACAAAAGCAGGGGATCAAGCAGGAGCTCCAATTTAAGAAACAGGCAAAGCTTCATCCCAGGATACCTACTGGAGAACTGTCAACTTAGAACTGGAGGAGGACGCAGTGCCAGAGAAAAGAGGTCTCCAAGGGAGTGAAATGCAACTGATGGACTACCTGGGAGTTGTTTTACAGATTTGTCACAAATTTTAGGGGAAGAATAGATAGTAGATATATTAAAAAACAAAAAGCAAGGGAATGAAAAATTGGGCCATTTGTACAAAGGTAGAAAAAGAATCATTCATGGTTCTTTTGTGACAAATAATGATTAAGCCATAGTAAGTATTAATGTAACCAAACTATATTAGGAAGACAGGGAGAGAAATATGGATGGAAGGAGTATAAATCTAAATCTCTATATTTCAGATGAAGCCTATAAATAATATCTAAAACTGAACACCCCAGAAATATTAGTATTAAAAAAACCTTGGAAATATAGTCATAAGTTCCAGGAGAAATATGTGTTGAAAGCTGTTGGTAGTTTGTGGAGGTGGGGCAGCACTCAACAATGGAAGGCGTGGGGTACCAAGGTCTGCTATGTTTCATTAAAAACCAATTTGTATGCTTCCAGAGAAGATGGTAGAGTAGGATCCTAAGCTCACCTTATCCCATGGATACAACTAGATAATACCCACATCCGTGTAAATAACATAGAAAACAACCCAGAGATTGGCAGAACAGATTCTTCACAGCTAAAGGCAGTGAAGGGGCCATATCAAAGAGGGTAGGAGGGGCAGAGACTTGGTCAGGAGCCAAACAGACCTGTAGACTGTCTACAGGAGGGAGGGAAACCATGGTTGCAGAGATAGGAAGGAAACAGACCCTCACACCAGGCACTGCAGGGACAAGGAACCTGGATGAGGAAGATGAATCCCCATGACATTTGGCTTTGAAAACCAGAGAGGCCTAACAATCAGTGGGGCTTAAAACTTTAAAAATCAGTAAGCTCTGCTTTAGGAGAGCCAGGAGGGTGACAGGAAACGGAGTCCCTGCCCTTAAAGAGACAACACAACAAACAGCCCTGCTGAGATACTGCACAGAAGCAGCGGTTTGAAAAATACCTGGAGTATATGGGAAGAAAATTTATTGACCAATCTCAGAGCATGTGCTGGATGGGCAAGGAACTTTGAGAGGCTTCTCCAAGAACAAAAGAGCTATTGCATGCCATTTGCCTCCTCTGCCACCAAACCTAAACACATGGACATCTGCAGGAACCAGTACAACACCACCAGTCCACCTAGCTGGCTAACAGCTTTCCCTGTCTCCCTGCTGTGGAAATGCCATCCAAGCCTGGATAGTTTTCCTAGGCAGTTGCAGATTCCCTCCTACAACAGACCCACACAAACGTGCTAAAACCACAATCCCTGACCTGGCTTTCTCCTGATGACCTGCCATCTCAAATACACCCTCGGTGGGAGCCCATCCAAAGCGGTACTACAAGCTTGGCAGCGTGCAAGCAGCCCCAACAGGGGCCAGCACCACCCCAAAGTGACTCCTGAACTGGGGAGAGGGGAAGAGAACCACACACACACCAGTCCAACTGTGGCCCCAGCAGTGGGTCACAAAAGCTTCTCAGGAAACAACACATGGAATGTGCCCAGCAATTTGATTCTACTGCATCTCTGGTAAATACCAGGTCTGACTCAACTCAAGTCCAAAGTGGCCCCAGACTGACTCACTAATATCATAAGGACAAAAGCCTGCTCACAACAGGAAAAGAGAGCCACTGCAAATGACTGGATGGAAGAAAAAAGTGGCTCATCCACAACAGCAGGGCATGTGCAAAACACATAGGAGATACCCCTGAATCATCAAGTTCTGGTGAACAGAGGATATTGGACTGCAGGGCACTACAGGACCTCTTCATGAGGTCACTACTTTGCCTTCCTAACACAAAGACACAGACACAGAGAGTTAGACAAAATGAGGAGACAGAAGAATAGGTCTCAAATAAAAGAACAGGACAAAATCACAGCAAGAGAGCTAAACAAAATGGAGATTAGGTAATATGCTTGATAGATAATTTAAAGTAATGGTCAAAAAGATATTCACTGGACCTCAGAAAAGACTGAAGGACCTCAAGGAAACCCTCAACAAAAAGATGGAAAACAAAAAGAACCAATCAGAAATGAAGACCTCAAAAACTAAAATTAACTAAAATTCGAAATATACTAAATGGAATAAATAGCAGACTAGAGGAAGCAGAAAAATGGATCAGTGCCCTGGAGGACAGAGTAATAGAAAGAAATCAAGCTGAAAAAGAGAGAGAAAAAATAATAAACAATGAAAATAGACTAAGGGAAATCAGTGACACCACCAAGCATAACAACATAGGCATCATAGGGATCCCAGAAGAAGAGAGAGAGGAGGGAAGAGAACATTTATTTGAAGAAATAATAACTGAAAACTTCCTGAATATGGGGAAGGAAGCTGAAATCCAGATCCAGGAGGCACAGAGAGCCCCCAAGAAAATCAACCCCAGGAGTCCCACACAAGGATATGCAGTAACTAAAATGGCAAAAAAATAGTGAAAAAGGATTTTTAAAGCAATAAGAGAAAGAAAGAATTTTTAAAGCAATAAGAGAAAGAAAACAGTTATATACAAGGGAAACCTCATAAGGCTATCAGCTGATTTTTCAGCAGAAACTTTGCAGGCCAGAGGGAGTAGCATGATACATTCAAAATGCTGAAGGAAAAAAAGCTGCACCCAAGAATAACTCTATCCAGCAAGGCTGTCATTCAGAAAAGAAGAAGAGATAAAGAATTTCCCAGACATACAAAAGTTAAAGGAA